TGGATGGATTAATGAAAATGTGTATATTAACGTAATACACGACATTTAATGAGACTCGGTGAGTATTGTTATTATTATTATCATTTCTAATATGGCGTCACTTGTGCAAGTCGTCTGCTACCACACATCTCACATTTATGTTTGTTTATTCTACTGTGGGGTGTATTTATCTTATTTATATGTTATGCATCGTGTTTATTATATAATTTGAAAAAAATATCATGGATGGATTAATGAAAATGTGTATATTACCGTAATATACGACATTTAATGAGACTCGGTGAGTATTGTTATTATTATTATTATCATTTCTAATATGGCGTCACTTGTGGCAAGTCGTCTGCTACCACATCTCACATTTATGTTTATTTATTCTACTGTGGGGTGTATTTATCTTATTTATATGTTTATGCATCGTGTTTATTATATAATTTTGAAAAAAAATATCATGGATGGATTAATGAAAATGTGTATATTTTAAAGTAATATACGACATTTAAATGACTCGATGATTATTATTATCATTACTAATATGACGTCTGGAGACATAAGACACTTACCAATTTTAATGTGTACCTGCATGCCAGCACAGTATGTAAGTTTATTTAGGTACAGGTTACGTAAAGTATAATTATCAGAGTATATATAAAATGTGAAATAAACTTTTAAAAACATTTGAAATTTTGGAGTTTCCAGACATAATGGAGAGACTTAGTGCTTACTGAGCTCATGGAGAAGGGAAACAACAGGGTGGGGCACGGTACTTATTAGAAAGCCAGGTGGGGGGAGCGTTTTTTTATAGCGAGTTTGGTCATAATTTGAAATGTCCGTATTAGCGGACGCCCGTAAAGTGAAACGCGTAAAGCGGGGTGGCCTTGCTGTATTCTGATAAATTATGCTTATGTATTACCTTGTACTTAAAATATAAACTTACATAACTGTGCTGGCATGAGGTACATATACAACTCTCAGTAAGGTGTCTTATGTCTCCAGACGTCATATTAGGAATGTTAATAATAATCATGTCTCCATTTAAATGTCGGTTATATTACGTTTAAATACCCATTTTAATTAATCCATCTATGATATTTTTTATAAATTATTTAATTAATAAACATGAGACATAACATAAAAAAGATGATAAATACACCCACAATAGAATATAAATAAACATAAATATGAGATTGTAGCTGTCGTACTTGCCACAAGTGATGCCATATTAGAAATTCTAATAATAAATAATCACGAGTCTTATTACAATGTTGTATATTACGTTAATATACACATTTTCATTATATCCATCACTGATTATTTTTTCAAAATTATATAATAAACACGAAACATAACATAAAAAGATGAATAAATACACCCTACAATAGAATAAATAAAATAATATGTAGATGTGTACCAGATAATATCTTGTACAGAAGTGATGACAAGAATAACCATTTTCTCTAATCTACATCATAAGAGAAAAATGTGTTACTGGGGTGTAACTGTAGAAAATTTTTCCTTTCGTTTGATGTAAGTAATTTATTCAGGTATCACACAATACAGTTACAATAGATTATCATACATAACAACATCCATTGTGTAGAGAACCTAGGATAACCCAAAACAGTCAGCGTGACTTATTTTCCATTGCTTCACTCAGTGCATCATTTCTTCTCAAAATGATGTTACATGAGAATGGCGAAGTGTTCTTCCTTTATTTATTCTACCGTTATCCATGTAGAGAAAACCTGTACACAAAGTAACTTGTACACAAACCAGACGTGTACCTCGTCGTTTCCAAAACTTACCTTCCGCCTGGTTTGTTTACATTAAACTCTGCGACTGTCCTCTCTCATGACTCATTCTTTCTCTCTCTCATTATTCGTTTTTATCTCATTTACTGTACTCCTGGACCCTACATTTAAGACTACAAATATTTTAGGTAAAGTATGAGTGAACTGTATATTCCATTTTTATGGCTCTGAGGATGCTTAAATATCATGGAATATAAAATGTGTGGGTGGGTTGGCCTGGTATGGTAGCCGGCTGACTACCATATACCACACTTGATTTTTTACCAATAAAAATACTACCATCTCACCCTTATTTTAACCCTTTGACTGTTTCGCCGATAAAATACGTATTACGAGCCAATGTTCAGTCGTATATATACTCAATAAATTTCGAGCGGCTTTCATCAGTGGTGAGAAAGCTGTAGGCCAACTGTGAGAGAATGGTGTCTGTGT